TGCAGGACGAAAAAGCATGAAAATCGTCACTTGTACGGTCGTAGAGTTCTTATCGGGGAATCAGCTGTGCGGATGGGGGCGTAGTGTTGGAGATGGAGTTAACTGGGCACTGGAAACTGCGACTGAAATGGGATTCTATTTAGAGCAGTTGGCATGTTTTTTTCTTCTTTTTTTCTTTATTATCAAACTACTCAGTACTATATGCAAACCCTAATCCACTATATGTGATGGCGAACGATCACAAAATTTGCCTTTAAGTAGGGAAAAATTTCTCCAGGTTGTTTCAGCAAGAAAAACAAATGCTGCTTGTCTATATAACTGTAATGTATATAACTTCACGTATAAATAATAAGGAGTAGGGGGAAAAAAGAATCTGAAGTATAAGTTAAAGGAACTTTCTGCGCTAGAGGGATTGCGTTAAAGTATACAGGCATATACCACGACAGATACAATGATGCGATGACCTTGTGAAGATGACGGTTTGAATGGTTGTTCCATCTGACTCCTGAGATTACCATTTTTAAACGTCATCTTTTATCTTGGGTCAGTTGATGGCGAAAAAAGAAACGGGAGCGACCAGCGGAAAAGGCTCTCGAACTTTTGGATCGTTTCGAACAATGTACGAGAAATGCAAAGAACTGACGACGGATCAGCTTCCTTCTGTCGATAAGGATCAGATCCCTCAGTGATACACGCCTCACTTTCTTCACTGGGGATAAATATCAGTTCATGTTTGTTGGCAATTGATCGCTCTTCTTCAGTATTACGTCTGGTTACTCTTTTGGAGGCGGAGCTGCCTGAATATGAACCCAAATAAAGTACACTGTTACCGGAACAAGGACCTATATCACCCCTCTATTGCCTCAGCACCTTTCGCCACCTTATCTTCGAGACAAAGTCGATGAGTGTTCTTTTGAATGTGGGAAGTGACCGGTTCCGCGCCCTATCGCAAACGTAAATAGCGTTTCTAAAGCTTCTTCAGAGAATCTTAAGGAATCAGAATCTCAAAAGACTGGAACTAAACGTGCGAATGTGATAGAGCAGAAAAAATGCTATAAGAAAAAGTATTAATCGAATGCATACGAAAGAAAATGAAAGTAACAGCGGACAATGGGGGAAGAGGGTTAGGTTGGGATGATTGCGGAGCCAGCCGGTTAGTTGGTTGTGAGGTATACGCTGGGCGAAGGAGATCTGGCAGCCGACTGTGCGCTTTACAACATCCAAGCATCTCGGGGGCCCGAGGGGGCGAGCAACGACGACAAACACAACGTTGAGAGCGCTGAGAAAGAGGTGACGATGCATTGAAGTAAATCCGGCACCGATAGAAAAACGAAATCGCTAGAATATTGCGAAATCTGAAGTTATCTTATTGACGTCGAAAAGACCGAAGTTAATTGATCATTCGAATCCTTGCGGTCCCGGACGCTGTTCCAGAGCTTGGGATAACTGCTTGAGAAAAGCGCCTCTCAGTATCAGACCCGACAGGTGCAGTTGGCTCCTGGGAACTGGAGAGAAGAAACTGTGAACACAAGAGATTTGACGGTGCAAAAAAAGGAGCAGGAAAAGCGGACAAACTCCCCATTTATCTATTGAAACACACCTGAAGGTGCACAGTGTCACAAACCCAGAGACACTAAATGGAAAGATAAGGAAGGAGGAAAATGTCTGAAAAAGGGAACAAAAAGAGTAAAGAGTATAGGCACCTTCTCTTGCTAATACCATTTGGTAATAGGAGGATGGTTAATTAAAAGTATGCTTTGGTGAACTGCCAATGGCTCGAACTGTGTTACCAGTTGTTTGATGAGCCGGAGGGGTGATGAACCCCTCGCTTGAGGTCCCCCTTGGTTTGTTCGCCTTGGGTCCCGGACGAATTCTTTCGTAACGGGTTAAGTTGTCAG